TTATAAACAGGTACCAGTAGAAAGCTCCAGATGTTAGTGATGTATACAAACCAATATTGAGGAAGATCAAAACTGATAAAGTTTCCTTTATCTTGCAATAACATAAAAAGAGGACAATGAAAATATATTTCAGTGGACATGACCTCTAGTCCTTTTTTGACAAGGAAAGCACACTTAGATGTTTCTTTCTCTGCTTCTGTTCTGCAGTATGTGCGTCCTGAATGTGAACACTCATATTTTATCAGATTGCATCCTCAGCACATACAGTCTATACATACAGCACCTAAAAGTGCTTCAGGATTGCTTGCTTGCTAAGTCAATAAGTACAGGAGACACTCAATTCATGCAACAGCTATCCACGGAGCACCTACTGAAGACCAAGACCCGCCTCACACACACACCATGCAAAAGTTGTGACAGCAGAGAAAAGACAGTCCTCGTGCAAAGAGGGGTTGGAGGAGGTAGACTCTAAATGTGAGAACAGATACTGAACCATTTCTGACAGGTCAAATTTGTAAAATATATAAAACCAAGTGAGGAAGAGGATAACGTGGGGTGAAGGGAAGAAGTTGCCTTAGCTGGTGTGGTCTGGGAGAACTCTAAAGAGGACAGTTGTGAGAAAGAGCTTCCCTCTGGTGAACCTAGAAGAGTAGTTAGGAAACTGGAGCAGGACGCCAGGAGCATCTGTGAGAGTCAGTGGGGTCCATGAGGAAGAACACGTGGAAGAACAACCGGAAACCTGGAGTGCGGAAGTGGTGTGGAAAGGCAGACAGCAGTCTTACACAGGAATCCTGGCAGGAGGAGAGCAAAGGAGATAGATAACGTCCTCATTCACTGTCTTTGCTGCGATACAGGGTCTCATTTTATAGTTATTGGCTGGATTAGGACCTGTGGCTGGCTGCAAATTTGTGACTGTCAATCTGCCCCCGCCTCCTGAGTACTGGGATTGGAGAAACGAATCATCTTACCTCCCATTCACCATGTTTCCGATGCAGATATACATTTTATTTTTGTTTTATACATATAGTTCATGAAGTATGTATTCCAAGCATTCATTTTCCTTATTTTACAATGAAAGAAACTAAAGAGAAAGTGCCCATTGAAATTGAATGAAAATAAGGAAAACAAGCAGATCAACTTGTCAAAGAACACTGAGGACTTCAATGTCCTCACAGCATCCGTCTTCAGTGAGAAGGTAAAAATAGACGTCTGTGTCATGCATTGGCTAGAGAACTGATCAACTGCGTCAATTGGTCCAAGGCACCTTTGTCATAATGTAAGGGCAGATACGTAACAAGGTCTAAGGAATAGACAGACAGACACTATTTTCAATTTCAAGGTACACAAATATATATATATATATATATTTGTGGTATATATATATACCATGTGGTACCAGAGAACCAACTGCATGACTTAGCATAGGAGAGGATGAAGCTAGGATTGGTTCATTTAAAAAAAATTGCATCAATGACTCCATCCAATCATTTCACAAGCACTGCTACACTGGGACCCCCAATCATTGATAATAAGCTTGTAGTGGGGACACTAAATGGGAGAGCTGGAAAAAGTGAATTTCTGATTTTGTAGGCCCCTTTAGAGTACCTTGATGAATATGGTGACCCCTTTAGTAGAGTTTATTTCACAGGGGAAAAAAATGGTCAAGTGAAAGGAAACCACAAGCAAGCTTGATTTTTCTCAGGATTGGAAACAGAGTTTCTATAGCTTCAGGTCCCTGGTTTCGAGAGGTCGACGGACATGTGGGCTGGAAATGAAGGCAGCAGTGAATGGTGTCTGAAGAAGGACTGTGTGAATCTAATGAGACTTTAGTAGAAAATTGTTCTTGTGCCTTTTCCAGGAAAGAACAACTAATTTAAGCTGAGCACTCAGTGAAAATGGAGAGTTCCCCCCCCTCCTTTGGGAGACTTTCAGCTCCCTGCCCATCATCAGTCTAATGCTGTTCTTGAAAACATCCTATAGAGTGATGGAGGAGACACTTGCTTACCTTTGCCTCCATTTGCTCTTTTAAGGACTTCCTCTCAGGTAGAGAGTAAGATAGCCGGCTTGCAGTGCTAAGTGATGTTTGACCCTTGCTACTTTCTTATTGGCATGTGATTCTTGCCATAAGCAGGTATCTTTTTTTCATCTCAGCGAGAACTGATTGGTACTTATGCTTCAGTTAATGCAGCAGTAAAAGATTTAAAAGAAGTGTTACATGATTGCTACAGTATATTTTCAGATACTAAAATTGGAACCAAGTGGAATAAGGGCCAGGTGGCAGCAGCTACAAACTGTGCTAATGGTTCCATCAACAGATGTTTAATGTACTTAGAGTTATCCTCCACATCCTACTGTTGCTAACACATTTCCTCCCAGACCTCCTCTCAACACAAAAATTTTGAGAGGAAAGGAAACATTAATAACCCCAAAGTGTTTAATTTTAGGTGATATTTAAATCTTAATAGCGGTCATAGGTGACCTATGCAAGCTCTCGATGGCTTATTGCAGGCTTCAATAATTTTGTTGCCATCATTAGTAAAAGTTGTTCACCAAGAGAAGGCTTAAAATGTATTTATGTTCTCCTTTATTTACCTTTGGATTGAATACGGCTTTGGAAACGTTTTCAAAGAATCAAAGTATAGTGATGTTTTGCGGAAATGCTTTCATCTTGGGTGCAGACAAGATCCATGGACGGCATCACTGTTCATGCAAAAGATGCTGGTTTGCCAGGAAGAAATCTTACTTTCTGGATGGTTTTATAATCTACAGTTGGTCGACCAGGATGTCCTTGTGCACATCAAGGCAGTTTTTTCCTTTAGTATAGAGGAGTGAAGGATAAAGTGGGGAATCCCCCTGGGAGCAACACTTTAATCTAATGAATACATTGGGGCATTAATTGTTATGATGTTTACGTGGCTAGATGACAGAGAATAGGAACCTGGAGGAACAATCTGCAGTCCAGAAAGTTTCTGTGACAGAGAAAGGTACACAAGTTGGATGGTTTTGAAATGTAGTGACTGTGGCCCTCCCAAGTGTCTTAAGTCAACTGCCAGAGCAGCCCTTAAGAGGAGCTTTCTGCTCAGCTAGTTCTATGGGAAGACTGCATTAGTTACCTTCCTTCATTCAATTTCTCTAGACTCCATCATTTTGGATTTAATGGTTCTTTCAAATTTTTAAGTTTTTTTCTCTACTCTCTAGTAAGAGACACATATAGAGGAAATGCAAAGGTCCATGAAAGTCATGATATAGCTCTACTTGTGTATTGCCACTTGATGAATTATAGTCTGTCTGTCCTATAATTAAAATTATATTTATTGTGATTGAAATGTAATTTGGTTGATTGGGCAATGAACACGAGGAGATGAAGACAGCTTCAATCGAAGCTACAAACTGTAGATTATCTGCAACCAAGGCTTGTTAGCTATCAACAACAATCAGGTAATGAATAACTTCACTTCTAAACCTAGAGGGAAGTAGAAACTGCTTGTGGTGACTGACAGAACTTTAGCAAGGAAGACATGGTGTTCATTCATCCTGGAGCTTTCTCCATTGTGTAAGGATCAAAGTCCCTCGGCCTATGTGATCGTCCTTGAAATAGCTTGATTTTGATTATTCAGTCTGAGTCATAAAAGAAATGTTCTCTGACTTCAAAGGGTTTGATTCGTATTCCACTTGAGAGATGCCCCCACTCATTTCTTTTTATATTTGAAGACAAAATGCAGGTAAAAGGAGAAACAAAACCGAGAAACCCAAATCATTGGTCAAGAAGAATCAAAATTTGTATAGATCTTATTTTTATTCAGTAACAACAATTATGTTAAAAATATTCCCCATTTTCAAGTACTACTCAATGGTAAAAAATAATGACATCTTGAAATATGCAGGTAAATGGATGGATAAAGAAAAAAAACATATTGAGTGAGGTAATCCAGACCCAGAAAGTCAAATATAATAGTTACTCACTCTTAAGTGGCTTTTAGGTATAAAACAAAGAAAAACAAGCCTACAATCTACAACCCCAGATATCCTACACAACAAAGAGGACCCTAACAGAGACATACAAGGATCCAAATAGAAGGAGAAAAAGGCAAGATCTCCTGAGTAAACTGGAGGCATGAGGGGATTATGGGAGAGGGGAGAAGGGGAAAGGAAAGGAAGGGAGGAGACCAGAGAAAAATGTATAGTGCAATAAAAACAATAAAAATAATTAATAAAAATAAAAAATAGTCTCTATTTTCAGTCCCTCTGGAAGTCATTGTGGAGAGCTCTCAAAAGCTACAAATAAATTTGTCATATGACCCATATAAACTTGATATCCTATTTCAGAGACTTGCTCAGCCATGTCTATTGCTGCTTTATTCATATGGAAACAAACTAAATATGCTTTAGTTGATGGAGGGATAATGAAACTGTAGTACATATACACCATGGAATGCTATTCATTTGTAAAAAAATGAAATCATGAATTTTGAATGGAACTAGAAAATTTTATATCAAGTGAGGTAACTCAGATCCAGGAAAACAAATACCACATGTTCTCTCTCATTTGTGGTTCCCAGTTACAAATGTTTAGATATGAGTATATAAAGTACGGTAACCACAGAAACTGGAGATGAAAAAATATCACATTTGGGTTAGGATACAAGTGATTTGTAAGAGGAAATGAGTGGAGCTTTAGTTGGGATGGAAGAAGGGATGTTAATACAGAAGGAGACGAAGAAAGGACGAGAGAATAACACTAAGCTGTCTGGGAAACTATAAGGAATCATATTATTACTTATTAACCAAAATTACATATACTACATATAAATACATGTGTAGACTTTTAGTATACTTCTCTAATGAAGAAGGCAGTGAAGTTATAAATGAAAGCAACTTAAGATGATGTCATTAAAATGAAGTTGCTTTTAATTGTATGCAAATAAAAACACAAAGTAATAAATCATCACGACAATGGTGTAAAATATAATGGAAAACAAATGATCAAGACATTGCTACCAGCTATGTTTGTATGTGTTTGTTGCCATACTGGAAAAAGGCTTAAAGAGAAATGTATAAATAAATCCTCTTTAGAAGTTCAGAACTTATTTAGTGTGAGTTTTAATATACATGAGAAGGAATATAGTTTTCAAGAAATTGAAAGTGACGATGGTATTAATAATAAGTGTAGTGTTCACTGAGTCCAGAAGGTAACATTGGGTCCCCTTGGGCTGGAAATGCAGGTGGTTGTGAGCCTGCTGATGTGGGTGCTGGAAACCAAACCTGGGTCCTCTACAAGAACACTAGCCACTCCACCACTGAGCCATCCCTCCAACTAGTTTTGCTTGACAATTTGACAAAGCCTAGCGTTACCCAGAGAAGGAAACTTCAATTGAAGCATTTCCTTGATCAGATTGGCCTGTCACCAAGCCTGAGAGAGGTTACCTTGACTGATATTTGGTAGAACCATTTCTTGGCAGTTAGGTCTCAACTGTAGAAGAAAGTAAGCCGAAAATGAGACAGAGAGCAAACCCATAAGCAAAATTTCTATATGGTTCCTGGCTCTACACCTTATTTTCATTTTTTACTTATCTTTTCCTGGTTATGATATCAGTAGAAAATATAGAAAAATATAAAGAGAAAAACAAAAAAGTGCCTCATATTTTCTACAACAATAATCATTATTTGTATTTAGTATATTTCTTTTTAGTGAATGTATTTTTACTGTATCATAAATTATAAATAATGCATCTTTCTTTTACAAAATAATAATTTCTATAAATATTTTCTCATAAAATATTCTTTAAAATAATTGGCCCCAAACCAAGTGTAGTGGGGCACACCTTCAATCATAGAACAGAGGCAGGCAGATATCTATGAGTTCAAGTCCAGCCAGGGGCATGTAGTGAGACACTGTCTTTAAAACAAAAAATTGGCTTGAGTTCAGCTCATAATACTTCATTGCTGGATGAAACAATTTCCTCATTGTTATATATTGTTTTGATAATCCTATGGATATGTGCAATTAGAAATAACAGACTCATTGTTCACACATCAGCATGCATAGATCTTAACTCCATAAATATGGATTGGTATAAAAGAGTGAAAATGTAACATTAAACCATTGAAACGTAATTATGATAATTTTGTGAAGGATCAACCGAGAGAGCTTTATATACATTTGATAAGTGTTGCACCATGGGGTCGAACCCCCAGTTCCTTAATACCGTTCATATGAATGAAATTGTATTCACACGAAGAAATTCACGCAGTACAAAAACATAAAAGTAGAGCTCTCTGCACACTCAGTGGCACAACTTTGGCTATATTCCATAAAGGTGAACATATTTTCCACATTTTGCATAAGTGTCCTAAACCTATGAGTATATCTAGCAGAAACAGGACCACACATTTTCCAAGAGATGAGTCAGAAGCTTCTCAGCAACCTTACTGGTGAGAATAAAGCTGTCAGCAGAATGAGAAGAAATTGTGATAGACAAATGCGAAAGACACACAGCAGCAAGAACGAACCACTCTCGTTGCACAGAAAACCGTGGCCAGCGTTGCTTTTACCTCCCTTCTACAGCGCTAGACTGTAAGCCTTTATTGCTGACGACCATAAAGGATGCAGGACACAGAGAAATCATGTTGGAACTGAGCAGCAAGCTTCCTGTTCACTAGGCTCCATAGTGCTGGATGCTTCTGTGCTGCTTGCTGGGGGAAGAAACGCTATTAGTGTAATGCAAAAGCGATGAGAGTAAGTTACAGCTGAATGTTAGGTGCGAACTGGCTGCCCCCTTCGAGGCCCAGGGAACCTCATGGAAGAGGTGGTGACAAGGCTGTGAAAGTCAGAGGCTTGTGGAGAGTGCTAGGGAATGCTGTCTTATAAGGAAGGCAGGGCTGTTGCAATCATGAGCACTCAGTATCTGTGCTTCTCTGCCTAAGACTCAGAAGATTGGGACCTTCACCTTCAATTCCAGCACTTGGGAGGAGGAGGCAGGCAGATCTCTCTGAGTTCCAGGCCAGCCTGGTCTACAAGAGCTAGTTCTAGGACAGGCTCTAAAGCTCCAGAGAAAAAGATTGGGCCCTTCAATATGCAGCTATGAAGGGGTGCAAGAGCGCATGCGAGTCCCTGCGGAGGAGCTTTAAGTAGTCAGTGACTGCCAGGAAAGAGGAAGTTATTTTTTTTCCGCGGTGCTATAGAGCTATAGACCTTGCTAAATTATCCGTGATCCAGTAAGCAGCAGCTCAATCTCTCTGTCTCTGTCTCTGTCTCTGTCTCCGTCTCTCTCTCTCTCTCTCTCTCTCTCTCTCTCTCTCTCTCTCTCTCTCTCTCACACACACACACACACACACACAAACACACACACAAATAGGAGAGGGACTAGTTAGAAGGAAGTGAGCTAGTGGTTGCGGGGGTGGAGCCATGAGAGGGTGACTGGGGTGAATATGATCACAGTATGTTGCATATATGTATGAACAGAAAGACTATCCATAACTCAAAAGTAAAAAGTTGAACTCGGAAAGCAAGTTACTTCAACGTCAAATGGTATAGTTCAGTTTAAATAATGTATAAATAAGCAAAGCCAAACTTTCCTTCATAAAGTCAGGTAGTAGTTGCTATGCACTGATAGTGACTGCAGGGTGGACAGTTTTAGGGTTTTGGGGTGGTGGTGACTTTTGCCTTCTGATCCCAAGGTTGGTTGTACTAAGTGTATTAATTTGTAAAAAGTCATTATGCTTATGGTAGATGGTATTTACTTATGGTAAATGTCATTGTTTTTATCAGTATTGTTTTTTGGTGCATTGATACATCAGAATGGTGGCCAGCAGAGAACGTTTGGGACAGCAATACATGCATGCATACATACATACATACATACATGCATGCATGCATACATACATACATACATACATACACAAAATCAAGTGAACAAATGAATTTCAAAGTTATGATTTTCACGAGTTTGCCAAGGAAGAATAACATTGTTTTTCTCAATACTCTTTGAGATCTAGGAAAATAAAGCAATTAGTCAATATGTTAGGAAATTTTATAAAACATGTAACAAAAGCTAAAACTAGGTGAGCAGTGTCATGCAAGTCTTGTCATTAAGTATATGGACAATTACATGTTATTATTTCTCTAAAATTGTGTTAACATAATGATTATAATACAATTATTTTTTTATTTGATGCTTTAACAACAATATTTTCTTATTTTCAGCCTTGGAACGTAGGATTTGTCTCTATTTGTTCTTTACACATTGAATCTCAATACCAAAATCTCCGCAAAACTGTAGCTACTTCCTACTGAAAAGAGTCGTTCTCCTTCCAGAACTAAAGAGATTAGAAATTGCAAAGCCCTTCTGAGTTTAAATCCCCATAGAGTCGCTAGGAGAGTTGCTTTGGGTTATCCTGGTGACATTTATTAAGATCAGAAAGCCCAGAGATAAGACGATCAGAAATGTTTGTTTTACTTAACTACTCAGACCCGTCCACACCTGCTTAGCCCAGCGACCCAAACTATCTTCTCATTGCCCATGTCAAATGTTCAGCAGCTAGGAGGCAAGAGTATACATACTACCTTAAGGAAAGTGCATGTATTTTACACTAATTTTCACGCATGGTTTACTGAATGGATAAAACTGAAAAACATATTTCATATATCAGCATATTAAAGTATAGGAATATTTTCATCAGATATCTTTCATTATAAATAAATTTAATTTAAAAATTTAAGCTAATTTTTAGACATTTCATTTTAGACATGTAATCTTTAAATTAACCTTAATTTTTAAAATCCTCTCATCTCTTCGGCTTTGGAAAAATGTAATACTTATGAAGAGAATGAACTTAAATCTTACTTTGTGTGATTGAAAACTTAAAGAGACTTTACAATTGCTTAGCCATTGAATGACTTACCAATATTTGAATTTCTTTTAGTTTTTAAGGGGAAAAGGTAAGTTAATTTTTGAACAGGATTTACTAACATATAATGTACATTTGTCCTCATGGCAAACTCCTTTCCCATATATCCTGGAGTTTGTCCAATCGTTTATTTTTTTTCTAAAACTGAAAGCTGCCTCCTACTTCAGCTCCAGCAGACTCCATTAGAATTGTGTTCGTGTGCACACACTGCGTGGTGAAATACGTATACGCACATATATATTTTTTCCTGCGGTGACTCATGCTCTCTAGTCTACCGGAGCCCTGTGGAAAGCCTACTACACGCACTATGCACAGCTCTGGTTAAACATTGTCCTAGCGTTTGCTCTGCTCCGTCTGTTGTTTTTACGCTGCGGGCTCAGACCAGGTTGGAGGCAGTATTGACTTTGTAATTAAACCATTTTACCTTCAGAATTTTGTAATCACTGCATTTAAAACCATCTGTTGTGGTGAGAAGGTAAACTCTTCCCCATCTCAAGGTCCAAAAAAAAAAAAAAAAAGAAAAAGAAAAGAAAAAGAAAAAAAACCTACAGTGACCTTTATTTTTAATTTCAGAGTCCCAATTTTAGGACCGTCTTTTCCTAACAGAACCAGGAGAAGGTGAAAAAAGAACAGAATAATTCTCCCCAGGAGATGAAGCGGGGGGCTGCCATAGAGTTAAAATTAACTAACTACAATTAACTAACTGCAGGTGCAAGTGCCTTATCACCAGTAGCTTGTGTCCAGAGAGACCTCCTTTCCTCCTGTGTGTGCAGACTTAGTATTAGTTTATTAAAGAAGGACTGTGACGATATTAAAGACAGGTTTGGTTGTTCCTCGATGTTAGGAATATTTCTTGCGTATGTTCTGTGGCCTGCAGAATCTAGCAGGATGTGTTGGCTACAGATACTTGTAGTGGTGAGCAGAGGGAACTCAGTAACAGGAGTTATTGAGTTTTTCAGGAAAGGAGAAAATATTCTTAAAGGAAAATCAGCGCTTTATGAAATACATTGGCCTGGTCTAGATGGTTGGCGGGCCCTGCCTTGGATCCCAGAAAGAAGCTACCAGGGAAAGGTGGGTAAATTCACATCCTCCTCATACTCTGAATGTGAGAGTGAATGACCACATCACCCCTCTAGCCTTCAGGAACTGCAGGAAGGATACCAGGCCCTGTACCTGCTGCTCCTTAGGTCCTGGCTCTGGGGGAGCCACACCACCTG